ACAAGGCCACTTGACCCCCAAGGTACAGATTCACCAGAAGGGACTCACACCCAACAGTCTCCGGAGCAGGGATCCCATGAGGTGCTAATGATTTCCGGATGACAACTGCCACTTCCCCACCCTTTCTCTGGTGTCGTGGTTGGTGCAGCATCTGAAACCCTTCTGGGCACATTTCTGAGAGCGGGACTCCTCCCTCATGGCCCAGCCAGGTCTCAGTAATACATGCCAGATCTGTCCCCTCGTCTAATATTAAGTTCCAGACGAGGGGAGCTTTCTGAATCACAGATCTGGCATTTAGCAGCAGCAACCTGAGGCCAGGCCCTGACATCTCTTGCCACCTGGTCTTTGGGTTGAGTTTTCAGGGCCGGAACAAGGGATCGCTGTAACATAGCGAGCCTTCCTTCCCTGGTAATGGCCAGCCCTGAAACTCCCATCGTACCTGCCTCTCCCAACCGTGACCAGAATGCTCCGTCCCGTCCCCATCACCGTAGACCCCCCACCCCTCCCCCGGCCCCTATTATCCCCAGCAGGCAATTTGTATCATACATTCTGGGACGAGAGGCGAGTCCGGGTCCCCATCCATTTCTGCTTCTGCACTCAGTGGAGGGGGCTCCAGGTCGCACGCTCAATCCCCTCATACATACCGGCCAGACATTCTCCGCATGCATACCCCACTAATAGTAAAATATTAAGATATACAATAAAACAAGATAAAAATTTTAAAAATTAAGTTTAAAACACGTGGGAACATTCTCTCAACCATCCATACCTACATTCACTCCTACACTCAGCAAACAAAGGTGGGCACTGTTCTTGAGCCGTCAGGCGGTTGGCGCAGTTTTGAGATAAATAAGTTAATAATAAAGAGAGGAAAGTCTTTGCGCTCAGAAACTTCTCCTCCGCAGAGTCCAGTAGAAAGGACAAAGCTCTAAAGTTTAAAGTGGATGGGGAGTTGACCCCGGTCGGAGGGAGAGAGGGCAAGTTCCCTATCCACGTCCTCCGCTTTCCCTTTCTGCAGAGATTGTAAACACAGAGTGGCATGCAAGGCTCTCGGCGAAGGCGGAGATCTGAGGACTCCATGGCCAAACAGCAGCAGCCGGAGTGGCGAGGGGGGAGGCCCTTGTGTCCACATTGTTAATCTAGGATCGGACCAGAAAGCAGAGGGAGAGTAGGCGAGGGAGGAAGGGGGTCGTGCCCGAGCCAAATAATGGTGATGAAAAGGCGACAGCCGGTTGGTCTCCCGCAACCCAATTTTCTCCGAAGTAATAGTCCTAGGGACGAAAGCGAGGGTGGGAACGGTCAAAGGGTGGAAACAGTTCGAGGGGCAGCGTCATCTGGAGAAGGCAGGCCAGGANCTGGAGTCTGGCAGCAACTACCTTAGCCTTTTTAATTACTTTAATTATTCTTTTATTTTCCTTATGACACTGGTGAGGCCCTGCCTCCCCTGACTGCACGTCCCTGGATGAGACAGCTAAGTATGAAAAAGACATGGAATAGACATTTCTCACTTAAAATATTATAACTGAAGGTTACCATATAATATTGACTGGAAGTTGATTTACAACAGACTTTAATACTAGCAACAATAACAATGCTTTACAACAATTATTTTTTTTCACTTAATAATTCACTTGTAGAATTTACAACTGTAAAAACTGAGATAATCTCAACCTATTATCAAACTTTAAATGGGTAGAAATTCTGATTTGTAGACATGGAGCCAGGTCCTGTTTCATCTAGTCAACTGAATCTGGATTTTAAATGGATTAATATAAGATCTTGCATTAACACTATGCTACAGAATCATTGAGTGTTTATCAATTTTTGTGAGTGCCTCATTTCCAGTTCATCATGCTTTATTTATATGGGGATGGAGAGAGGCAGACCTTCCATAGGGATCACATTGATACATCTGAGTCAATATACTGAGAAAACAATAATTTTAGAGGGTATCTTTTATTAAGCATTTTACTGAACATCTGTGATATTGAAAAAAATGTCCATAGTTCCCTCCTCTTGCTTCCTTACAGAATGTCTATTTTTATTAGAAAGAAAATACTAAAAAAATTGTTCAGTTGAGTGAACAATCTGTTTAGATTAAAATATTTCTTTATTAATAGAACAAAATAAAAATATCTTGAATCTTTTGTTACACAGTACACTTCCACACTTAGCTGATTCCAATATTCAAATAAGTAGAATAGCAACAACGGGATTAGAGGAGCAAGGGGAATATTGAGGCATTTAACTATTTTGAAAATCTTATAATTTATAATTAACCTTTGTTGTTCTCAATGATATATATTTTAAAAACTTTATTAATAATTTTTGCATAAAATAAGTCAAATCAAAAGAAAAAAGCTAAGAAAAAAGTGAAAAAGAAAATGAAACAGAATAGTGATAATTCCAATTTCAATGGAAAAATGTAAAGCAAATATGAATATCTTCTAACCTTCTTTTGAACAGGTAATTTCAATGTTATCCCTTCTCCCTTGTAGTTGTTATAGTCCCGTAACCCCTCAATTACTCCACATCCCTCTTAATTTTCAAATCCACAAATCATCTTTTCATTTCCTTCCTATTTCAGGAAAATTCTACATAAAGTTTCTAGTCTTTCAGAAGAGTTTTTGTTATTTTTGTCTCTGACAATCTAGGTCCTTGGATAATCAAGTAATGGAATAACACAGTGTTTCCACAAAAATACCATCTACCCTGAAAACAAACCCTAGCCTGATTTTCATGCTTGCACTTAAAACAAGCTCTACCCAAAAAAATAAGCTCTAGTTAAGCCCTGCCCAATGACTGGTTGTACGAGAAGGGGGAAGGCGTAGGTGTAAAAATCAAGCCAAAGGGATGGGAGGGGAATCAATTTGAATTTCTTTCCATAATACAGGGTGGTAATGTTGCAAAGTTTACAATGTTGGAACTTGTAGGATGGAACAAATCTTGAAAGTTATAATTTCATTTCAATCAGAGAGTTTTAAAAATTTCAATAAATTTTACATTTTTTCAAAATACACTGAATTAGCATTGTACGTTGTAAGAAGCGCAAGGGCATTTTTTTAAATCAATTTTTTCCCTTTCCCCTCTATATTACAATAATAATAATAATAATACATGATTTCTTCTTTAAAAATCATGTATTTGTAGATCATGTCTATACTCATGTCTATACATTTTTCAGAGCTAGCAAAGTGTTTAAGAATAGATTGATCTTATTTTATCTAAACTAAGCATAAATTATTTAATCTAAACTGGATTAATAAAAATAGATTAATCCTTACTCTTATCTACTCTAGTTTAAGTTTATTTATTAAATTGTTTATTTATAAAAATGTATTGGCCACCCATTATACCACAGAGTAACTTAATACAAAACACCATAATTCAATTACAGATGGGGACAGGGAGCAGGGTGGAATCTGTTGTTAATCAATCAAGCACCTCCACCATGATGCTCCCCATTGGAATCCCAAGCTAAATGGCAAAGCCAGATCTTTAGGCTCTTATGAAAGGTCAGAGGGTTGGAGCTGACCTCACATTGGGGGGATAAGGTTCCAGAGGACAAGTGTAACACCAGAAAAGACCCTTCTCCTGGACCCCATCAGCTGGAATAATCAGGCTGATAAAACCCATAGCATGTCTCCTCTGCCATCTCTGTGGGATGAGATGGACCCTCAAGAAGTCTGGGTTTATGCCATGAAGAGCTTTAAAGGTGATTACTGACACCTTGAATTGCACCAGGAAACTGGCAACCAATACAGCTCTTAGAGCAGTAGTATTACATGTGCCATTCTTTGGTCCCCAAGAACTGCACTGCCACACTGCACCACCTGTAGCTTCCAAATGCTCTTCAAGGGTAGCTCCATGCAGAGCACATTGCAATAGCCCAACTGTGAAATGACAAGGCCTGAACAATTGAACACAGGGACTCCTGAGTCAGGAAAGGCAGCAATTAGCACACAACCCATAGTTGTGCAAAGGCTCTCCTACCCATGACTGCCACCTGCACTTCAAGCAAGAATTGTGAATCCAGGAGAATCCCCAAGTTGTGAACCAGATATGTCTGGGCTAGTACTATACCATCCAAAGTCAAAGATGACAAAGTGCCAGTTTTCAAGGCCCTGTGTATTCAAAACCATTTGATCCTGCTAGGGTTCAGTCAAAGTCTATTGTTCCTTATGCAGGACTTCACAACTTCAAGACATGGCAAATGTAACCAATGCCATTTCTGATCCATAACTGGGCCTAACTGCCACTGCTATACCACGACCTACCTTTTTTACAACCTTCCCCCAAAGGGGAGATTGGAAACTAGATGAAAGTTGTCCAAGCATGTGGGATCCAGTGATGGTTGTTTAAGGAGGGGGTGAACGAAGGTCTCCTTAAAAGCCTCGAGAAATGTTCCCTCCTCTAGTAATGTAGTAATTACTGTCAGAATCCATCTGCTAGGCATCATCCTGGAAACTTTCACTCCTCCAGGGGGAGGGGGGCAGAATCTAAGAAGCAGATGGTGACACCATCAGCATTTAGGACCTTGTCCACTTCAACAGTGTCAATAGGGTCAAACCATTTTCAGATAATAAGGTAAGATCTCTCCCAAGGAATCTCATCTCTACCTCCACACATGAGATCCATTCTTCAGCACATGTCTGTGAAGCTATCCTTTGCAGTATTCAATGACAATTCACTATACGTAATTAAATAGTAGAAAAAGTTATTCATAATTTCCTTGGAATCCACAACAGATTGCCAAAATTATACAATAGGAGATATAATTAAATGATTGTTTACTTATGAGAAAATAAATTTAGGATTTGGGGGGGTCCCTGGCAACTTTCAATAGTTAATTTCCTCCTTGCTTCATCTATATCAGACTTCTTTGAAACTCCCCTATTTCAAAACTACTTTTGGGACTTCTTAGATCAAGACCTATAATTTTTAGATTTGTTTAATAATTATTGTAACATTTTATTTATTTCCCCCACCCCACCCCCAGAATGACATACCAAACAGAGCTACAAAACTCTGAAATTAGTGAAGAGGAACAAAAACTACAAAGCTCTGAATCCTTCAAAGAGGAACAGGATTTAACAAAGGTGCTTAACATTGATTTCAAAAAAATTGAAAGCTTAAATATTAAAATCCCATGTTCCATTTGTGAAGAAATGGTATACATCAGCCAACTTTTTCATCACAAAAAAGTCCACCAAGCTCAAGCTGTACTGAATTATCAGTGGCCATTTGCAGAGCCTATAAATATAAAAAAAATAATCCTTCGGAGAAAGCAACTCATTTTAAGACTGAAAAAAACTGCTCAATATCCTGAACGAGAGATAGAAAAGATTGGTTGTTCCATTGATCTTCTTAAGGAGAGTATCAAAACTTCTCCATACTTCTGCATTGATAACATTGTTCAAAGTTCTGCATATATTAAAGAAGTAAGCAATCCACTGATTAAAGGCTTAGCAATTTGTCAAGATAAAAATGCTGTTTGGCACACAGAAATGGAAGATGTGTTTATTGTACTAGATAATTATGGACACAAGAAAGATACTTGCTTACTTGGACTCTTTGATGGAAACAATGGAATTTCTGCTGCTCAGTTAACTTCAGATGAACTTCCTCTTCTACTTCTTGAACAGCTTTCTCATAATGATTCCTCCTACCAGATTAGTGATGCTGAAAAAAACATGCTTCATTCTTTTTGCACTGTTTTTAAAGAAGATTATGAAGTAAAGGAGCAAGTATTTGCGGTAGCAAAAGCCGTAAGCCAAAACTCACAACCAAATAAGTATGAATGGATTCACAGAGCATTTGCAAAAGCTTTTTGGAGAATGGATAGGCTTTTATGTCTTGGACGAGGTGAAGTTTCCAAAGTTCGCTGGAGTAGCTGTACAACTGCCATATGTTTAGTAGAAATGGCAAGCAACATAAAACAAAACCAAAAACAACAAGAAGGGGAAGAAACAGTTGAAACAATAAATGATAATGAGGAGCAGAATGTCATGCAACATGAGAAGGGACTACCTAAAACAAACAGAATGATAAGAAGTATCTTAGAACAAGAAGTAGAAAAAATTATGGAACAGCAGGAAGAGAATCTACTTGGAAGAGTAAGTGATGGAGAAGGACAGAACAATATAGAGCAAGAGGAAGACTCTGAAACAGAACTGCACCAAGAGGAGCCACTTACAAAAATCTGTCATGGAAAGGGACAGAGTAATACAGAGCAAGAGGCAGGTTCTCTCACAGAACATCCTCGAGAACTATTTACAAGTGCAAATAATGGAATGAAAAAAAGCATCATAGAAGATAATGAGCAACCAGCAAATCGTAAAGATGAGCTCCAGAAAGAAGGTTGGATTGAAAATAATGAGAATTCAGATGAAATTTATGGAATAATGCATATTGCTAACATTGGTATGTATAAAGTCATAAAATTCAGAATATTATGTTTCCCTCCCACTGTCCCATTTTGTTTCTCTGGTGGTACACAAGTTAGCTATTAAATTCTAGAATTATTCTAGGAATAAATATAGAATAGTCATTTATTATATTGATTGTGGAAACCTGCATTTTTCAGAACTTTCCTAATAATTTATCTTTTTTTTATAATCTATGAAGATATCTTTTCCTAAATATATATTTTAGTTCAGTTCAATTATATGACAAATAGCTCTGGTTAGAATTGTTGATTTATCTGAGCAAATAATAGCTTGAATTATGAGTGCTTCCCAATTAAATTGTACAGGCAATCCTTGACCTACAACAATTTATTCTATGTTCAAAATTAGGTTTGCTCTGAATGAAGGGCTAGTCTCCAAAGTTATGGCTGTTGCAGCACACTATGATCATATGACAAAAATTTAAGTGCATGGCAGTTCTCTTGCACCACAAGCTCAACTCCTCTCACCTGCCTATCTCCCCCATCTCTGTCCTTTTGGCCCATTGCTATCTGTGACCCCTATTGCCCTAGCTGAAATTTGCCATTTTCTTGCTTCCAATGCTGACCAAGCATGTGCAGCCTGGCACATCAAAAGACAACTACTGGCCACATGAGATTTTTGTCCCAAAGTTGCATGTGGCAGTTTCTTCATGAGACCCAGATAAGATGGCTTCATTGGCCAACAGTTGCCTAGTGAAGGGTCAGGGCAGGCACACCTTGTCAGCAGCAGGAACAGAAGCTGGCGAAGGTCAGATGAACATGGGGAGGCAGGGTCCACAGAGAGCATGTGATGAGGGTTATTGTGCTTAGAACTGTTTCAGGGTGGCTGAGGTTTCCTGGAGTGCTGCTCTTTGGGGCTCCTGGTAGCCCTAGAGCTATGGTATGCCAAGAAGCCCTTGACCAACTAAGTGGCAAGCAGCATCAGAGCCATGTGGTTGTGGGACTGCTTGCTGACCAGGGCTAGATAAAATGGCAGAGAATGGGGGGGGGGAGACAGGTGGATGGAGTTGAAGAGGAGGCAGACCCTTACCATACCAGGGGTTGGGAGGAACCAGGCCTGAAATGGTTTGATTGGTATGGGTGCCCGGTTAATTGATGGAATTCAGTTAATAACAGCAACAGGATATGCCAGGACTACAGTTGCTAAGTGAGTACATTACTTAGCAATGAAAATTCAAATCCCAATTGTGGTTGTAAGCAAAGGACTACCTGTAACAAATCATATTGCTTTCACTCACACTGGAATGTATTAGCCAAAGGTGTTTTTGGAAAATTGAGCTATCATACAAATATCTTTTTAAAAATGGAAATAGAATCCTACCATATGTAGTTATTAAAAAAACCTGTCCAGGATATAGACAAGATTTTAAGCAGTAAAACTTAGGAAAGTTTAAATAAAGATTTGAACTTGAATGTGTATGTAGGCAAAGGCCTCCACTGCAAGATCTAATTAAAGTATTAGCCAGAAATTTCCCACCTTGCTTACTTGGGTTATTGAATTAGTGGCCTGCTATATATACCATCTATTAATCTTGCAATGCTGGAGCGTTTACATCCTGCCCCCAAGCCATTGGATTACAGCAGGGTATAAATGTTAACAGTAATAAATTAATAAATGCTATGCAATGTTAAAAACTTTAAAAATAAGGATATACCTGCCCCTACCCATTAGATTTTGAGAATACTTTGTTGAAAAATTGCTGTTTTTAACCCTTGCGACACATTGGACTTTATATTTTTGATTATCTACCATATTAAGCACCAGTGAAGCTTTCAATAATGATTTCTAATCATTTCTTGCAGGAGCCTTTCTATGCCCAGAATAGTTGTTTTTAGGTAGTTTGGTTTCTGTGTGTTTTGGTTTGTATAGAGCGCCAAAACAGCTGCTCCCAGCAGAAGTGTTTTGCAGTTGGGATGAGTAAAAGAAAGACAGCAGCAGCAAAGAGAAAGTGGGGGGAGTGGAATAAATCATGCTAAGATTTATCCTATTCTTTACATCATAGTGAATATCTGGTGCATGGATCAGTGCAAGGGAGCTGAGAAGGCAGGCAGGCTGGTGGGTTATATACTGAACTGCAAATTGTTGAAGAAAAATAAGTGATGAAGGAAAGCAGTTGGTAGACATCAGCCATGTCATGCTCATCTTGTAAAATCATTGTGGGAATCCTTGAGATTTTATTTTGATCAAATTCTAGGACAACCAAATCACTTTTAGGTTTTATTTCTTCTGAATCACAGCTGAGCTTAAAGAGTGCAATAGAACTTCTGGAATGCAATTTGTCCTGGATTCAAAACATTTTTTTTTTCAGTTTATGCAGTTTTGGTTATTTGAGGCAGAGTACCATTTGAGAGAAACTCTAGTCAGATAAGTATTATGTGGCATTACTGACAACAGATTAATGTATGCTTATCCTACTCAAAAGGTGCTGTTTCAGAGCAGAGAATTTCATAGCACACCATAACCTTAGTAGTCATACTAAGGGAGTCCACATCTAGATATCAACAATTATGTTACCTAAACTGGTGAGAGTTTCGAAGTTGCAGTTCCAAAATATCTCACAGACAATCTGTCAATGACTGCTCTGATATCAGTGTTTGTCAAACTTGCCAACTGTAAGACATGTGGATTTCAACTCCCATCTGGAATCTTGAGAGCTACACAATTTAAAGTTGCCAAGTTGGCAAGTTTACACAACTGGGAACAGTTTCTTCCTATTGTTCTCTGGCTTTTAAGAACTATTACAGGACATTAATCAGGCTTGATTTTAAAAAAAATGTAATTTATTGTACTGTCAGACAACATAGTTTTTATGTAGCCTTACATTTATATACCTCAGGGATTTGCTGAAGCATACTGATAGCAATAGCAATAGCAGTAGACTTATATACCGCTTCATAGGCCTTTCAGGCCTCTCTAAGCG